ACCATTTACCCAGTTAGCTGGGGCTATTCGGGACCATTTACCCAGTTTATACAACTAGTTCTAGGTTTGCCAGTTTAAGCTGTAGTTGAGCCTGAGGAAAAGGGTTTGGTTTTCTTTTCCATTTTGTTTTTATAGCATTCATGTCAATCTGAATTGCTATTTAGATAAGGCAACTCTGCTGGCCAAGAGTGTGGAGTAAAATCTGCCCAGTGGATGCCCACACTTCCTGTCTGCTTGTTCATCCAGCAGGCCCTAAAGTGAAATGACGGAGGGTGCCAGGCTGTGGAAATACAGCTGAATTTCTCACAACACGCAGAAGTGCTTATAAATAGATAGATTTCAATCAACACGCAGCTTATTTGGGCCTGTGCTCAAATATAGTAGCTGCATTCATTAGACAGACGTTTCCACTAATCCCAAGACTATACTAATAAAAGCGTAATCCCTGTGGGCTGAAGGTGGCCTCTCAGTCTTCCACAGCCAGGGCCTAATAATAATCGCGGCTGTGTTCGCTCTTCACCAAGTCAACTTAAAAGCCAAGCTTATCTGGAAATGTTTCCTTTCTGCTTTCAGTTGGCAGTAGTTGAGATGTGTGGCTCACAGCGGAGCCCATTTAACAGCCAGTGCGGTGGTTGTGCTTGCCTTCGCGGTACTTGGCCGTGATGCACTTCTCCTCACCGTTTGACACAGCGTTTGTTCCCAGAGTTTGTCTTAGTTTTGCCCTTGACCTCAGGATAAACAAGTGGAATCCACTCTGACTCCCAGGGTAGTGTCGTAGTTCGACTTTCTGTGGACGATGTTTTTGCCCCTGCTTCAGGCTCAGCTTTGTTCAGCAAAGCCCTGTCCTCCCACAGCGTTCAGAGCTAGCTGTAATTAGTTCGCTTAACACAACACCAAAAAATTTCCCCTTGCCAGTGATGTCAGATCTGCCTTCCTTTTTATTATTCTGACTTATAAACTGCAGTGACCTGTGAGTCACCCCCACCATCTCCTGGCCCTGTGCCCACACTGTGATCTATGAAAAGGGAACCCTGCCAAGGGCTACAAGGTGGAAAACTGATATTATTAAATGGTCTTCTGAACGGTAACTCTCAGCCATTTTTTAATCTTTTGTGATGTTATTGCCAGCAAGGGGGTGGGGAAGGTAAATCATGGCGATGTGAAGGAGCTAACCCACGCGCTGCTAACTTTTTCCAGACTGGGGACTCAAATGAGTATCAGTATCTGTAGACATATAGGATTATTGCGCAGCCCTGCTCACACACCAACATGTGCTTTCTGACTCTTGTTACCATGAGGCTCAGAGGCTCATAACCTCCCGGGCCTGTGGCCTTATCCGTAGCCTATTAGTGACCCATATTATATAGCAGTAATACAATAACATCAGTCAAGAAAGATGCATGGACAGGGCTTTGGAAAGGAAACTATGCAATAGAGAAGCCGTGCAAGAACCATCTGACAATAATCCCTGGCACCGTCCGTGCTGTTCCCCACTTGGGACCCCGATGACACCTAGTGCTCCTGGGCCCTAGTGCCAAGGTGTTGTAATCTTCAGATTTCCTTCTCTAGCTATCCCTGTTTCTGGGCTGAAGGTGGGAGTAAGCGAAGGGGCGCTAGAGCATGATTGGTTTTTATAAGGTAGAGAGGAAGGAAACCAAGTTAGAGAAGGAAAGGGAGGAGGTGGGGGTGAATGACCGGAAGTCAGAAGAGGGACTGGCAGGCACTAGGAGGAGGTCAGGAGGAAGGGGACTTGGATGTTCAAAGCATGATATCGCCTGTGGGACGGTGCCATTGGCAGGACCCTTTAGTTTGTACAGCTAGTGTGTTACAGTTTTTTAAAAGATGGAGTAATTAACTGCCTGGAACTAGCTAGACTGAAGTCCTAACATTGTCCCTTCCTCTCCGAGCCTCCGTTTCCTCAGCTGTGAACCGCAGAGCTCCACCTTTGCAGGCAGAGTTATCAGATGGCTTGTATGAAGTTCCCTGTGAGCAGTGAGACAGGCAGTTCTCGGTGTGATCAAGAGAAGGGGCGCTGTTGATGATCTGTCACTTCTCGGGGGGCCGTGGAGTATCCGGAGAGGGGCAACCAGCAATCGTGGCTCCAGTTTCTGAAATTCCTAGTGGGGGCGGGGGGAGGGTCGTAACCCTGTATTTTGAGAAACAATGGTGCTGAATATCTCAGTTATCTGTGTGCCTTCAACACTGCTTATTGAAATCAGCGGCCACCATGGAGTCTGGTGCCAGGGCTGATAAAGCAGTCTTAGTAATTCTACAGCTGGTTGGCCAGAGACAGGCTTAGGCCTCAGAAGTGTTTCCCTCAACACACACACACACACACACACACACACACACACACACACACTGCTTCCCCTTTTCCTCCCTTTCTCCCTCTTTCCTCTCTTAGCCCCTCCCACTCTTTCTTGATCCGTTCTCCCTAACAAGCCTCCTTCCCACTTTTATATCTTTGTTTGTTTTAATGACCCACTGAGTGTAATTAGGGTTAGTTGAGCGTTCATGGGTGTGAGGTTATTTACTGGCCCATGGGCAACAGTGACTGGCTGTGCCATTGAGGAAAATGACTCCCTACGGCCCAGCAACCT